AAGAGTGAGGTGAGGGGAGGGAAGCATTGGACAATGGTGGGACTGTTACGAGGTGGGCTGCCTCGCAACAGCAACCCGAAACCAAGCCGATAAGGCCCTCGGCAACGCGCTCTCATACTACCCGTGTGGTATGAATCACGTGATCATTCTCAAATTCAAAACTTTTCCATCGTCTTACCGGATGTAAGACGATCGATTTAAAGTACCCATGAAAAAACCTCCGGCAAAGTAGCGACACCTGTGGACCTCATCGCCTTTGGAATCATACGATTCCAATGGTATTTTACGCCAACGCCAAGGATGTTGGTCCTACTCCTACTGATTTTTTATTGCATGGAGAATTTTTTTAGAATACTTATTCAATTGAGAACTATTTTTCTTATAGAAACCTGATTGTTTACTATCACCATTTATTTAAAATTCCTGTCTTGGCTTCCTTTTTTATTTCTATGTATTTTTCAAAAACTTCGACTTCCCAGTAGGAATCAAGCAAAACTTTTTCTTGGCTCCGTACCGGCAGAGCCGGAAATTATTCAATTTAATTGGAAAAAATCATGAGATGTTGGAAGAGATGTGTTTTGAAGATTTGTCTTCTGACAAGTGTTTAATAAGTGCAGATAATTTTTATTTAATTTTCGAGTTTTTTTTATGAATAATTATGAGGTTTGTACCTTATTTTGTGTATGTTTGGTTTTCAGATTCTGAAGAAGCTGCAATTTAGCAGTGGAACCTAGCGATTTGACAATAAAATAGTATTGCTAAACTCTTCCAACATCCCATGATTTTTTCCAATTATTATTATCGTTTATGGAAATAAATACCATCATGAATTATTCAATTTATTAATAAAAAATTGAAGCAAAATTCAAATGTTCGGAAAATTTCACTGAGGAAATGTCAAGAATCGACTTGCAATTTACAAATTATTATAACTAAAGATTTATAACTGAGAGTGGAATTATGGAAGAAGAGAAGTATGGGTGGATTTTATTTTAGTAGCCGACAACTTTTCCGTATAAATGAAGTAATTTCTGTCATTGAATCATCACTACTACTGTAATGATTCCATAAAACTTCGCATGAACTCATGAAATGGCTTCGTAATAAATCTTCGTGGAATCTAGTAACGATTTGAAATACTTGAGGACATTGGCTGATCTAGACAGTATGGAATCTACTTCAATGGTTACCCACCCCTCCCCCGCAGCTGTAGAGCGACGGTGGTTTGGGGCCGACCGTTGGCGTTAAGTTATTTCTTCTTTTCCTCTCTCATTCGTACTCACAGCCGGCAATATGTTATAAGACGCGCGAAATTTATTTTTGGTTTGTGCGAAAATAACGCCAAGGTCGCAGTTGTCGCTGTATTCACATGAACATGACAGGGCACGACTAGTCGGAAGGATTCTGTGTGGGGAGTAGGAAAACTCAACGACATATCATCGGGAATATATTTAAGGCGATGAGGTCCACAGGTGTCGCTACTTTGCAGGAGGTTTTTTCATGGGTTATCTTTTCTACAAATGAATGATGAAAAAACATTAACCATTTAATTTCTTTCTTCAACTCTAGCAGAATTTCCGCTTTGAGAATAATTCGGAGTATTTGTCTTGATTTAGACTTATCACTATAGTCAATTTATCATCTCATGGTACTGTATCAACGTCTGACAACATAACGTGTCTTCTACTGGTATTCGAAATTCCAATAAAGCTGTGCTTCTGCGCGGTATGAAGAGTTCAGTATTGTCGATCGGAGGTAAAAGCTTGGAGGAAACTTTTATCCTCACCAGATGGCATATCGGATCGACTCACTTTTTACGGGGCTAGATTCCAAGCTTTATTAAATGGAACCTACATAAATGATTTCATATGATTTGATTTTCATTCATATGAAAGTACTTTAACCTATATCCAATAATTTTTCAGTCTCATGATAATTTTGCATTTTTGATTCTCCTATGAAGCGTGAAACAAGGAAGATCGCCGGAATACATTGATCCACCTCTTGGCACGCACGAACAAATTTAATAGAAAAACCTATCGAATTTGTTAGAAAATTCGATTGAATTTTTATTAAATTTTCTATTAGTTTTTGGCTGATTCTATTGACATGTTGAATAGAAAAAATTCAATAGAAAAAGTTAACAGAATTCGATTTTTCTATATAATTTATTCTTTTCATATATTTTTCTTAGAATTTGCTCGACTCAAATTTAACACTTTTTTTATTACATTTTTCTTTTCTTCTCATCAAGAAAATTAAACGAAAAAACTTAGATCTAATAGGAGATCCTCTTCCAAGGCTTTTGCCCTTGCTGGGTACACTGCCTGACGAATCAGTACATACTTTATTTTATACATCTATACATATATTTATTATTTTGCTTGCAATATTTCAGCCGACGCTTATTTATGGATCATGATGGATGCATACGATGCAAACTGGGAGTACGATGTACCCATTGTCGGTCGGTAAAACTACTTTTCTCATGCCAAATACTATCCTACGTGGAAACAAAAATTTGCTTCTTCAAACTATTACATTCAGGCTTTTCCGGGGAATACCAAATATGACTTCCCACTTTCTTGTCATGCTGATATTTGGGATTTTCAAAACTTTAGTAATAGAGACTTAAAATCTTGGTGTTTTTTTTACAAAAAGGTGACAAGCTGATCGTCTTGATTTTATCCTTAATTTTCTGTCTTTGAAAATATTTATATGCATCTGAAGAGAATTTTGTCTATAATAAGGACACCTTTTAGCTAACGGCAAACTATTGAATCAAGATGAAAGAACCCGGAAATTAATAACTGTAGGACTGTGGACAAAAAAAGTCCTGCCAAATCTATAAAAAATGCTGAAATCTGAATCACCTGAAACTAAAATTCACAAACATATCCATGATAGATTATGCAACCTGCCAGACTCGAGATCAACTGAACTAGGGAATTGCGTGACGAAATTGCTTTGAATATACACAGACACATTACGATTGCTGAATGCATTGAATATCAATCTCGCGCTGCGGCTTTCTCACGAGCTTCGAACCTTTCACCGTATCACGCTTAGGTATTTTAGTGGATATTTTTAGTGAGCACTTATTGTGCTGATCAACAAGTCTCTTCTCTGTTGAAAAACGATTCACGTTTAACAACACCATGATTTTGATTAATCGTCAGACACTCGAATAATTAATTAATTTTGCCTTCTAATGGCCAAACGTTTTAAGCGTTTGTTATTTTCATGTTAAACTACAAAGTGTAAATTTAATTCTTGGATTATGACGGCAGTGTGCTCTTCCTATATACATCCGTAAATAACTTATCCGTTGATAACTCTCCACGTGAAATATAAAGAGAAATGAACGATTCCAATCATAAACAGCAATGATGGTGAGAAATCAGTAAATAATAATTCTCGACTTTTGTAAGTCAACATTTTGTTGGTTAAATGAAATAGCACATTCAACAGGCATTTACTACTACTGACAGGTTCTTTCAAGGAACGTTCAATCCCTTGATCGGTATTGCAATGATAAGAGCTTCAAACCGAACGCATATTGCCGGAGAACTCGTTGAACAGATTAAGAAATCCTTAGCGCTTGCGCGAGTAATTTTCTTGCAAAACTTCACAGACTCATTTTCATGGCGAGAACATAGAAGGAATATCCCATTTTAATTTGGAACTTGAGGTGTATTTGTTGTATTATTTTTTCACATAGCATTTCAGTCACAAGAATTATTTGCGGACATTTTCTCGTTTGCCAATGATAGCAGAGCATATCTGAAAAGGGTTAAAAAAACCCTGTATGTTACCTCATCAGAACAATTCTATTGGTCGACAATATCGGAGGAGAAAATAATCAGGGAAAAATCATGGCATGATTTCAATTTTGTATCCATAAACCTTGGCCAAGATCAATAGAAATTTACATTGTTCATGTCTTTCCTTTCTAGTTACCTTTTGAAATTGATTATAAAAACTGTCTCTGCATATAATAGGAGTAGGAAGAAGTGAGACAAAATGGACGGCTTCTCATAATCAATAAATGGGGATTGGTACAGAAACCTTCAACCAATTTTGCCCCAAGTTCATGTTTTAAACTTTTAAATTCTTGCTTAATCAACAAAAATAGTGTTGTATCACAGAGAAAAATAAATTTTGGTTTCTGGAGATCTATTGCTATTTTTTAGAATTCATTCCTAATGGTTAAAAATTCCCAATACCAACTAGAATAAGTTAGTTTGACCGCGGGATTTTGAATTTTTGTCTGATTGTCTGGACTATATCACTGGAGACTTGTAACATTCCTTGATTTTAGGGAAAAACGTTGATAATAAATGGTAAGACAATGCTGCAAGATTGTATATTTGGAGGCCGCAGATCATTGTATCCTTTACGACAACGAAATGAAAGATATATACACATAAATACCTACACTTCATTTTAGGATGCCTTCTTTTTTCAATTTTACAACCACGGATCCTTAAAAATGAGTTTTCTTGGTGTAAATTTGCGTGTTGAATTTTCAAAAAAAGCTCCTCCAATTTGAATCGTCATGAATTTTCAAGTTCTTTGCGAATATTTGTGATAGATTATTCAGGCAAACCGATATCTTCTCACATTTTTCAGATACTGCTGTCAAATTCCTTTAATGTATGCGAGAAAATTAGAAGTAATTCTGAATAACTAGTCTGTTGTATTTATAAAGAATGAGGACTTTGATTAGGTAAGGTTATCACTATTCATTTTAGTTCGCACAATTTTCAGATCATGTCATAGAATCACAGTGAAATTTCAAATATTCTCCGAATAAAATTACTTAAATATTCAATTGTCCACGAGAAATATTGATGATCTATCTCTCAAAGATTACCAGTAAAAACCTGAAAGATTGAAAATTCAGCTCAATTTTGAAGGATTTTTCATTGGAAAATGCAGAGAGCAAAATTTTAACAATCTACTTTTACTATCGGATAAAATTAAAATGATATATTTACCGACAATATGGTGGTACTTGTCTATAAATTGTGCAGTGCTCTGAATTCTCATGGGTATCCAATCGGGGGTAGTATTCCAGGATCCAGGTTTAAAATATACATACTTCTTTTCTGACGTACGTAACGTCAGACATTCGTGTTATAGATTTTATCACAGTTCACATTTTCATTTCAATTCAACTTTATAACTGTAATGATTTTTTCCCTCTCTTTCATTCCACTTCACCAGCTGCACCGATTTTAATCTTTAAAAAAATTTGCAATGAATATGTCACCTGTATCCGCACTATGATGATTACACACTCGAAATTATTTCAATCTCTAAAATAATAAACTCTCAACATTATTCACGCTGGGACCTTCATTGATCGAACGGATTTTCACTTAACTCTATAAATCTCATGTATAAATAAACACCGGTTAATTTTTATTTCACCCTTATTCGGATGTCAGCAATTATTCAAACTCACATTAATTTACTCGGTAATTTTCTGGTTAATGATTCTCTTGTGAGATGATGCCAAGACTTTCGGTAATTAATTATTTTCTTTGGGATTGAAGACCAGGTGGATGAACTACCAATACGAATGATTGAACTTTTGTGGATTTATTCGATAGATTTCTCATTTTCACGACTCTAATTAATCAGTTCATAATAATCGTTGGAAAGTTTTTATGATTCAATAGTGACGAATCATCGAGCAAGTATAATCAACTGATTCGTGGTTTCATTAGAAAATTCGAGAAGGAATTAGGTCGGTTGCCACGTTTTAGTGTATCGGTTATCCAATGAAACCTTCAGCTTAATCTTCACGAAATTCACGACTCTTATGAGATAATTTGGATTGAACCGAGGGGTTCAATCCAGCGACTGCGAGAAAGCAGAAAGAGGTGGTAGCCTGAGTCGTTTAGCATTGGCATCGTCTTGTGTATGTATATTTCACAGATACGTGAACGATGGGGCCTATTTTAAAACCACTGTCCTTCCAACTGAACCTAGCAAGAGAGACAGATTGGCCAGGGGAGTGAGACACCAATGAGTTACGTACGTGCGGAGATTCATGAGACTTTTATTGAGCTGATACTGCAGCAAAAACCGCAGTTGTCCTAAGCGACCTTTAATATGGGCAGGAGATTTTCCACCCCAGCAATTGCAGGGACTTATTGTTCTAGATTGTGACTATCTTTTACGGGATTGAAAGGTTTTTTATTATTACATGATTATCCATTGGCTGAAATTATCAATGTGGAAATAAAGGTTGACCGAACGGCAGTTCTCAAGCTTGTTTGTTTCAATACATTCGTTTCGCAGATGAAAGGGAGGAATACGCATGAATAAATCGTATCTAATGTTTCTTCGGAACTATTTACTGCCAGTGAATATTCTAGCATGTTTTTGCAGTTTTCTTGTAAAATTGAAAATTTTATTTGTCAAGGCAATTGCGATACTGAATCATGTTCTCAAAATTAACCCATCATCTCATGAAATTAGAGAGTGTGGTCATATTTGTTGAACAATTTTATGGAAATATTTACTGTTACATGAAGGAAGTCGGCTTATTTGCAGGGAATTTCAAAAAAAAAATCTGCCAATACCAATACTTGATATGCATCGTTGTTTACTAATAATTACTCTCTATTAATAACTCCCACATAATATAGAAGTTATTAATTCTTGATGTCGACCAATATATTTTTGGATGGCTCAAAATATTTTTTCATATGCAAGCTACGAAAGTAGAGTCCAGCTCAAATGTTCAACTGATTCAATTCATTCAAAAGCATACATGACCTCCATCTCTGGGAAAACGTTCTACAGAGAAAATCTTAATACCACTATTCTCGATTGTGACTTGCTCCACGTAAAGTGCATAGAGAAATTAGAATGAAATTAGCGAAATTTACATGAGTATTCCCACAAAAATCTGCATGAGAAAGATATTTCCATCATCGAAGATCAACGGTTCTGGGTTCCGTGAACTTTTATTACAGAGTAACAAAGGATAACAACGAGTGCAACGGTTGAAAGAATTTATTCAACATTAAATTTCACACAAAAATTCATGGAAAAAGCTAGCCTCTTACTGGCAGCGAAACTTATTACCCCGAAAGTAGCTTTGAAGTTCCACAGAAATTGTTAAATGTAGGGAACTTTTACAGATGAATAGCACATTTCATGTGACATATGTTTCTACAGGGTGACAAATGGGAATAGGTGAAAATTAAACTATCATAGTTTTGTTGAGTAATGTAGGAAAGGAAGGACCATCATGTTTGTAGACACAGTAGACTTTGCAAATTTATTTGCAATTAGTCAGAGTTGCATTTAATTTTTTTTAATGAAAATTTACTCGGTGAAAGAATTGATCAAACACATTCGAGGGCATATGACTAATGGTAAATACTCTCGAAGGGTCATCCATCAGAATTTGCGCAATAGTCAAGGCGTTTCTGAAAACTATGGAAGACTTCTTCAGTTTTACCTTGAGAATTATTATTAGGTATATAACTTAATCTTGAGCTTTTTTTTCATAGAGTGGGTTATCTTATGTAAAATTTGAATATTTACGCGCCCGTTTCTGATTTTGAAGGGTGAACCTTACAGTTTATAATACGATATTTGTTATATCTGGAAAAGCTGCATAGCTTCACAAAAGAGTAGTATATACGATGGCGGCCTATACGCAGCACATTCGGCATTGTATTCTGTACGAGTTCCAACAAGGAAAAAATGCAATTTGCACCCACGAATCGATTTATTCTACTCTCGGAAAGGATATTGTATCTTATAATACGTGTAAATATTGGTATAGATGCTTTAAAAAAAGTGATTGCGATCTCGTTGATCAGGATCGTCCGAGACAGCCTCTCAAATTTGAAGATGGTGAATTCCAAGAATTACTTGACAAAGACTCAACGAAAACCCAAAAAGAGCTGGCAGCTCAGCTAGGAGTTACTCAAGCAGAAGTCTCTGAACGATTATACGCAATGGAAAAAATACAAAAGGTAGGAAAATGGATTCCACACGAACTGACTGAATCTACCCTCGGTCAACCCATCAGCACTTGTCTTTCGCTGCTCGCCAAGTGTAAAAAAAAATTTTGTCAAAAATTGTGACGGGACATGAAAAATATATTTGTTTTCTTAATCCCAAATGGAAAAAGTCATGGGTGGATCCCGGACAACCACTCCACAACAAAAAATTGACATGAAGAAGGTTCTCGTCTGGATCTGGTGGGATATGAAGGGTATACTCTATTACGAACTTTTGTAAACGGTTCAGACAGTTACTGCAGAATACTACAGTTGACAATTGAATAAATTAAGCGAGGTACTTGATGAGAAGAGGTCATTTACTGGGCAAAGGAGCTGGAAAGTCATATTGTTCCATGATAACGCTCGACCTCATGTTGCTCGCGCGACTCAGAAAACTATTTTAAGCTTGGGATGGGAGGTTGTCCCGCACGCGGGTTATTCACCGAACTTGGCCCTTTCCGATTACCATCTGTTCCGTTCCATGCAGCGCGACTTGGGGGAAAGCCGCTTCCAAACTCTGGACGATATACAAAAATTCGTCGATAACTTCATCGCCTGAAAGCCTGCAATTTTTTGCGATGGCATTCGTATGTTGACCAATTGATGGCGCAAGGTCGTCGAAAACGATCGACGATATTTCGAAGATGGATCTAGTATTTATATATTTTATGATATAAATTTTTTTTTCGACAAAATAAGACCAAAATTAAGTTAGACACCTAAGAGAAACACCCTTCTGGATAGCGCTTATCACAGCCTCTTTTGTCTGAGGATTATCCGCGTAACAGAAGTCATTGAGATAACCCCACAAGAAGAAATCACACCGTTTCAAATTCGGCGAGTATGGTGGCTATTCCATCCCTGCTCAGGCGAAGCGAGGATACCGATTAGTTCGATGAGGTATTGCACCGTCTTGCATGAAATAGAAATCTTTCACCAATCCTTTTTTCTTAGCGAATGGGAAAAAATTGGTTTCCAACATCTCTCGGTAACTCTCCCCTGTAATGGTCCCTTCGAAGATTTCCACATGTATTTGTTTCATCGACAGAGCTGCCCAAACTGTAATTTTAATAGGGTGGAGAGGTTTTGCTACTGATGAATGTGAATTTTCACTCCCCCAAAATCGATAATTTTGTTTATTCACGTAGCCATAGTAGATGTATAAGGCCGGTTCTGGGCCAATGTTTTGGGGCCGGTTCTGGAACAAGATTTTGGGAAGGGTCACGAGAGTCAGTTGGCGAGGTATCCGAGGGTCTCCCGTGAATGGGTGGTAGGTGGCTAATTAATTGATCAATTACTTAATTAATTCGCGAGGTTAATTGGCGGGTTCTGGGTCAACAATTTGGGAAGGTTCACGAGGGTCCGATGGCGAGGGTCTCCTGTGAGTGGGCGGCGGGTGGCTAATTAATTGATCAATTAATTAAATAATTCACGGGGTTAATTCGCGAATTTTGTAGCTCGGCGGTTCGGGAAGGGTCTGTTCGCGAGGTATCCCTCCGCGAGTGTGTGGCCAATTAATTCGCGAGGTTGATTCGCGAGATTAATTGGCGGAATTAATTTGCGAGATTATTTTGCGGAGTTGATTCGCGAGATTAATTCGCGTGGTTAATTCGCGAGATTAATTCTCGCGGTTAATTTGCGGGGTCCCCAGATCAAGAGTCTGTTGTCTGGTGAGATGTCCAAGGAATACCTGCAAAAGGGTGGTAGGTAGCTAATTGATTGATTGATCAATTAATTAATTAATTCGCTATTTCAATTCGGGAGGTTGGTTCGCGACTTCAATTTGCGAGCTTGATTCACGGATTTTCCAATTTGTTTTGTACAAGAATAAATTCCGGATCGTGAAGGTGGGAGTGAGATGGAGACACGAGGTGGACAATGGATATCTATGTAGTCCGGGGTTGAAATGATGAAGCATTGTGTAACGTCACTAATAGTTTAATGTCACTAATTCTGGTCTCTAATTTACAATATTTACAAGCGCGTAAGCATGAATTAATTGCGTAAGCAACCGGGGTTACAAAAAAAGAATACTGAGAATTCACTGGGTACTTTTCACGAGAATTAGTTGATTAGAGTTCCGCGTAATCCTTATAAACAAACTAACCGTTCCCGACAATGAGGGCGTGATGAGATTATTGAGTTTATTGTTCACTGGGCGAACACTAGGATTAACACTGGGATTGATGATTGGCGTGAAGCTGGGCTATAATTAACAGAACTCTGTGCAAGGATGCTGACTGGGATGCTACGTGAGACTAACTGCTAAAAGCGCGGGCAAAAGCCGCTGGTAAGCGTGATGCGGTGAGATTAGGCTGGGTGATTGCCCACTGTCCAGTGGGTGGTGCCACTTGTGGCTCAATCAAGCGAGTCTTTCGATCATGGGTGTATCGGCTGAGTTTGGCGGGATTTCAGACACAACTCAAAAAATCTAGGAAGGGTCTGCTAGTAAGATGTGTATGTTGGTTACTTAAGCCATTAATTAATTGATTAATTAATTACTTAGTTAAACAATAAGTGGGATCAGGATTTGGGGAAAAGGCAACGCGGGAAGTTTGGGGTACTTATCAATGAAAAATGAATCGAAGTTCGAAAGATGATTATTATATTTTCGAGAATTGTTATTCCTATATTTTTTTCTTACAAATTTTTTTCACATACGCACACACGCACACACGCATACATACACAAACATATGCATAAGAATACATAAGACTGTACTTTTGATTGATTACAATGTCAGGAGTAAGTTTTGACACTTGGTCAGCATAATCTAATTATGCTGGCAAGGATTATATAAGCAATAACACACAC